TACTGATGAAGATTGAAGACTACAGTCTGCTGTATGGATTACACCTCAATATAAAGAAAACAAAATCCTCACAACTGGACCAATAAGCAGCATCACGATGAATGGAGAAAAGATTGAACTTGTCAAAGACTTCGTATTACTTGATTCTACAATCAACACCAATGGAAGCAGCAATCAGGACATCAGAAGATGTACTGCATTGGGCATATCTGCTACAAAAGACCTCTTTCAAGTGCTGAAGAGCAAAGATGTCTTCTTGAAGACTAAGGTGTACCTAACCCAGGCCATGGTATTTTCTATCACCTCATATGCATGTGAGAACTGGACAATGAACAATGAAGACTGAAGAAGAGTTGATGTTTTTGAGTTGTGGTATTGGCGAAGAATCCTGAAAATACCATGGACTGCCAGAAGAATGAACAAATCTGTCCTGGAAGAAGTGCAAACAGAATGCTCCTTGGAAGTGAGAATGGCCAGACTTCATCTCAGAAGGGACCGTTCCCTGGAGAAGGATATCATGTTTGATAAAGTGGAGGGTTAACGAAAAAGGGGAAGGCCCTCAACAAGATGGATTGATCTAGTGGCTGCAACGATGGGCTCAGGTATAGCAAGGATCGTGAGGCTGGCACAGGACTGGGCAGTTTCGTTCCATTGTACATAAGGTTGCTATGATGAGTCAGAGACGACACGATGGCACCTAAACAACAACAGTCTTGGAAGACACATTCTATGTTGGAAGGCACTAAACAATACCAACAATCATGAGGAAGGCTCAGGACTGGGCAACATTTTTTTCTGTTAAGCGTAAGATGCTATGTGTCAGAGCCAACTCAGTAGCAACTAACAATTTAAAGTAACTTTATATTCCTCCTACCTTCCTACTTTCTATCTTTTCTCAGAAAAAAAAAAAAAGATTGATAATGGCATAATACACATTTTATAATGCCTTGATGGGGAGTTCAAATTGCATCTTTACCTTCCATCACGTGGTAAGCATTAGAATGCCATAAAAAAGTTTGTTCATGTGCATTAGTATAAATTTTACCTATATGCAAATAAACCAAAGGATTGTCATTTTCGTTATAATAGGATTACTCACAGTTTTGATTTAAATAATGAACTATCATAGCACATTTAAAATGTGATTCAATTCAGTTAAATTTATATGCAGCTTTCTTGGAATGAATTTGCTATATAATGTAATACAGTTATTTGAAGCTTAGATTTTTATAGCCTAAAAATTTAAAGTTAATGGTAAAACTTATTATTCAGATGTGATTTAGAGGTACTGCTCAAAATATTCTTTAGAGATCAGAGTATCAAATATCACAGACATAGTTGGAAAAGTCAACAATTACAGTAGGCTTAATTCCAAGGTAAAAATTGTTGACTGCATGCCACAGCCCGCCCCCCGCCCCCCAAAATTTGAGTCTCTATCCTGGGTCAGCATTTTCTTTGAAAACCCCTGACTTCTGCACCTAGTGATTCATTCTTTTTATTTTCTTCCAGTTTTTCATTAGGGAAAATTTTAAACATACCTAAGAGCGGAGAGAGTGTAGATAATAAACTATCACCAGTTTTAACAGTTATCTGTGGGTGGCCTGCCTTTTGTCATCTGAACTCTATGCACCTGCATCTAGGTTGTTTTGAAGTCAATCTCAGATATAGAATTATTTAGTCTGTAAATATTTCAGTTTATTTCCCTGACAGATACTTTTACAAAAAATATTTGTGAAAAATTCACAATAACTTCTTAATATCATTAAATATCTGGTCAGTGTGTTCACACTTTCTCAATTGTTTTATAGATGGTTTTGTTTGGGTGGTTGCTGTTGTTGTTGTTATTGTTTGTTTTATGGTTTGTTTGAATTATGATCCAAGGAAGGTTCTTACATTGTGATTGGTTGATAGCTCTCTTGAATTATTAATAGGTTACCCCCCCCCCCCCCCCCATTTCTGTCTTTCTTCTCTTGCTCCTGGCAAACTTCTCTTGAAGAGAACTAATCATTCATTCTGTAGAATTTCTCACAGTCCGGATTTTGGTAATGGCATTCCCGAGGCGTCATTTAATACGTTTCTCTGTTTCTTGTATTTGGTTGCTAACCAAAAGGTTGGCAGTTTGAACCCACCATCTGCTCCATGGGAGAAAAATGAGCCAGTCTACTTCCATAAAGATTTCCAGCCTTGGAAACCCTATGAGGCAGTGCTACTCTGTCCTATAGGGTCACTAAGTCAGAATCAACTTGCTGGCATTGGGTTTTTTGGTTGTTAGATGTAGAGTCTTGACTGGCTTCAGGTTCAATTTGTTTTCTGCCAGTTTATTTCATAGGTTGTGCGTGAACTTCCATCAGGAGTGTCGTAAAGTCTGGTTGTGTCTCCGGTTCATTCCCTTTTAAAGTGCTGTGGTTCACAAACTGTCTTTCATGGTTGGGAACTTGATTCTCAAGCACAAATGAGAATGGGAGGCCCAGAGCCCAACCCCCTGAGCACTAAGGTTGCAAACTAAAAGTTACTGAACTCCTCAATACAGACTAATACCTTTTAGTTATACAATTAGAATTTATAGGGAATTTAATTCCTTTGTCCCTAGGACAGAAGACTTAGTCTTAAATCATTAGTTCTTAATCCCAAAGTCTAAGATGTCAGCTATTAATTAATCAGAGAGTTCCTGCCTTTTGAGTATCTTAAGGATATTTTTTCCAAAGATAGAAATGTTGGGCAATCTACTTCCATAGTGATACTGCCTCGGAAACCCATGGAGGGGTCGCTATGAGTTGGGTCCTACTCGACGGCATGTACAACAACAACAATTAAAAATGTAATAAATGTCCACAATAAAAGTAAATATTTAGCCAGGGCTTCTCGACCTCAAGTATTACTGACATTTTGGTTCAGGTAGTTCCTTATTTAGGGGACTGCCCTGTGCATTGGTGGTATTTCAGAGCATCCCTGGCCCTACCCATTAGATACCAGTAATACTTATCTAGACACGACAATCAAAAATGTCTCAAGAATTGCCAAATGTCCCTTTGGGTGGAGTCATCTCCAATACTTAGATTTCAGAATTACATTTCTTATATCATACATGTCTGAGCTTTGTCAGACCCATTATGCTTTTTAACTGAGGGGAATTTGAGAAGGGCATGCTCTTTTGGAATTTATTCATTCAGAGTCACATAACTAGAAGTACAAGTTCTATGTCACATCTTAACCTCATTTTCAAAGTAATATATTGATGAATACTTTGAGGTTATTTGTTGGCACTTGAAAGCTGGGTCTTGTGATCAACAAACACAGACTGAAGGATTGAGGGTATGAAGGAGTAGAGTGGGATGTGGGATCTAGAGACAGAATTAAAGCAAGAATTGGTGATGGGATAATGTTTTCTACCCTGTCATTTTTGCCTCAGACTGCACTCATCAGAGAACAAATGTTCCATGATATAAAGTCAGTAAGGAAATTTTAAAATTAGCCTCTATTAGAATGTGTGCTCATTTTAGCGTTGGACCTCATTAATGCTAGGACATATTTGATGTCGAGGTAGCTTTCCTTAAACTCCTGCTGCAAATGGGGGCACTGGTGCTTGACCTGTGTGGTCTCTGACCTTTCGGTGTTGCCTCCTCACCCTCTGCAGATTGATTACTTCAACAACCAGATCATTGTGGACCTTGTCGAGCAGCAGCACAAAGGCATCATCGCCATCCTAGACGACGCCTGCATGAACGTCGGCAAAGTCACTGACGAAATGTTCCTCGAAGCACTTAACAGTAAATTGGGCAAGCATGGCCATTTTTCTAGTCGAAAGGTGATGAGTTTAATGAGAATTTCCTCTCATTTTTATCTGTAAGATTTTCCTATTGTTTGACTGAGTTAAATGATTTTATATGTTGGTTTAAAAGAATCTCCACTCAACTAAGAAAGAAAGGCCATAGGCATCCATTACATGATTTATTGCTGTGAATGAATTCTCTGGTTTCCAGCATGGCATGATTGATACAATCATGATATCCAGGAGAGGGAGCTCCAGACTATTCAATTCTCTAGGATGAACATGATTCTTTAGAAAGCATGATGTCATTTGTAACCAATAGGTACAGGGTCCTTGTTCATGTGCTAGAGATAACTCTGACACTGAAAATAGTACTTGTCCTTGACTTTTTACTGTTCGTCCTCAGTTGTTTCAAATGTGGTGTGGACTCTGCCTTACTTCTTCAGATGACATGATCTTCTTGAAAACAGAGAAACTCCTGTTGTTTGGCCGTACAGGGAAACTCATTCCTTAAATGAATGGGTGTCCTTTTCACTTCCCATTTTCACATTCTATAAATGAATGCCATAAACAAATCACAGTTTGGTAATAATTGATGGCAGTCAGGGCTATCAGCTGAGACCTTCATGGCATGTCTTGTGTGTAGTATGTTTGTCATTAGTATTGTTTAAGTAATTTATGTTAGAGAAGGGGCACACCATCATTACCGCGAGTCTTCCTTACAAATAGAAGCCTGTATTCGTAAAATAGCCTGTATGCTCCTTCACTTCAGTAAAGGGGAAGACATGTTTATCCCTCCCTAATTCCATAGTTATCAATGGTACACTGCCATTTTTTAGCATGACAAAATCTATATTCTAACTTTGTCCCCTTTGAAATTATGTAATCAGGCTAGGGAGATAGATGCCACAATTAATTTGTTAGAGCACAGATCATCAAAAACCAGATGACTGTCTGATACTTGTTTTAGGCCAGTTAATGTCTAAAACATTCTCATTGATCTGTTACTGAAGACTGACTGGTAACCCTGCTATAAATTGGCTTTAGGTTACAACAGTCTGACCTTTGACATTAAGGCTCCAGTTAGAGGTATTTCTTTCGTTGTTACCCATTTATACCTCAAATGCTTAATGAGTACCTCTTATTTGCCAGGTGCAATTCTAGACAGTGGGGACAGAGCAGTGAGCAAAGTTAGAAGCAACCTAAATAATGAATGATGGTTTTTAAGATAATATGATTACATGGGCAAATGCCCTATCCTTTGATGGGATGGTTTATGAATGTCCTTTTTTAAGCATAATTTAGGTTTTGGAGATTTGTGTAGGATTTTAATCTACCAGATGGTAGGTACCCAGTCAGTGTTCATAAAATCAAATTGAATTGGTCAAAATCATACCAAATAAGCCTTATGGAATATTGAATTTTAAACTAAAACACACAAAGCTCCAATTCATTTATATAAATATCTGTGAGCCCCCGTGAGATATCAAATCCCCCACATTTTGATACTTTTCACCTTGGTGATTTATACACCTGAATTAAATCTGTCAATCAACTACTTCAAAAGCTTAAGGGAGCAACTATACATATATTTTTAAGCAATTGCTACCGATTTGATAGAAAATGCTAAACAACAGTTTATATGTGGAAATGGAAATTTTTTAAGTCACCCCCGACACACACCAGGATCTTTGTCTAATTAAGGAAAGAAATGAAATAATCAAGCTATTAGAATGCTTTAATCACTAAAAATCTTCCTGTTAAATAATAGTATTATCCTGTATGTTGATCCAGCTACTGTCATTTGCTACTGATTATTGATTAGAATTATCGACATGCCAAAAAAAGGTTTTTGGCTTGCAACAGTAATGTTATTAGGGGCTAAATTGTTTCTTATACATTAAAGTTATCATAAGCATGCAACTGATTTAATAAACTATAGAATTACTATTTAGAATATTACTATAAAATTAAATGATAAAGCTGTAAGTGTTGTTATTAAAAAAAAAGAAAAATCTAAAGTATTCTGTGTTCAGATCAATTGAGATTACAGTATCCAACGAGTAGTATACTAATACTAAATGAATACACTAAGTATTCAGTTAGTGTGAGACATCTCTTGTGGCCTTTTCCTTTGGGGATTTTATAAAATGAAAAGGTTTTGTAAAAGTGGTTAAAAAGAGAAAGAAGAATTAAATTTATTGGATATCACTCTGTATGTTAGACCCTGTAGCCTACATAGATCACTCAATTCTTAAAGCAACTCTCTGAGATAAGTAATTATTAAAGGAGACAGAGGAAGCAAATGATAGAGCCAAGATTTGAACCTCCGAACTCTAATTCTAATTCACTGTAATTATTCACTTGTTGAATTAATAGACTGTTTATTCCTCTACAGTTTAGTTATCTGCTTAGCAACCACCACTTTAGTTGTGGTTGTTTATTAGAACCTAAGTGGTTTTTGTATGTAAGTACAGTCAATGCTTCATGCATTCTTAGATGTCTGCTTTGGAACCTATAGAATATCAAGGTATCCATCACATGGCAGACAGAGAACTCTAATAGCTACTGAAACATGGCCTCAGTGGTTTTAATTTAACAAGGAAATTGCAGAAAGTTATGGAGGCAACCAGGGCCATACACAAACTGCCTTTCCATAATATATTTCCCTTTGTAAGAAAGAGCTGTATAAGTTTGATCTTCTGTGAAATGACAGGCGTGGCTAGAGTGCCAGACTAGCAGAAGACATGTGAGCCAGATGCTATGTACATAGGAGAGCACAGACATTGAGGTTGGCCCCAAGAGTCATTCCCAGGGCTCCCACTTACTAGCTATGTGATCTGGGGCCTTTGAGTCTTCCTTTCCATGTGTGTAAGAGATCATGATGCTTACCTGAAGTATCATTTGTGAAGGCTCAATGAGATTTATGTGCCCAGCATAGTTGGCACTTGATAATGATCCAGTCTTCCTTTAGTAGATCATAGACGAGAAAGAAACTATACTCA